ATCTTCATGTCGGTAGTCAACACCCGAATCAATGACCGCAACAACGACCTCTCGAAGTGTACGCTCCTCAATCGCCTTCCACGCTTCATCCATGCCGATTAACTCTAAATTCCATTGCTTCGAGGCAAACTTGTCATTCACATCGCTCAAGCCAGTGAGAGAGGTCCGCAGAGCGTCGATGGTCATAGGAGTAGTGCGTTCAAGTGCCACCACATAGTTGGGCTCACACAACACTTCCATATTCAAAGTCTCCGCGGCATACGTCAAATACTGACAAAGCTGTTGTCGAGTAGCACCACAGTTCCTCGAGGCCGTATCAACGATCTGCACGCCCACTACGAGCATAGTCTCCACGGCAACCTCGTTGGAAAGGCAGTTCATCACGGACTCCTCAGATGAGGTTAACCGTCTAGGGCCAAGGCGACCAGCCAACATATCAGGAATAGATCGAATGTCAACAAACGGTGAAGTCGACTGCAGTGCTGCTATCGATGATGATGACGAAGTTGTCGTACTGATGGACACTATGGTGCGGTCATCAGCAATCTCGGCCTTCAAGACGACTAGGAACAGCGCTGAGAGGAGAAGAAGTAGTTGTAGCATTGGAAAGGAATGACCAACTGGTTCATCTAGAACTTCCGAAATTGAAGCACTCACTCGACACACCTGCACGGCGAATAATGAGCGTAATCAAAAGTCTCGGAAAGGTGAATTCCAACATCACATTGACAGCGGCCGCAATGATCATTGACCCTAGATATACTAATCATACTATAATTCCGTGCTCAATTTCACTGCACTCGTAGGAAATAGTGTTCGATCATTCCCATGCGATAAGATGGTCAAGACGATATTGGAAAAGCAGAAAGTCAACTTCCAAGTTGGGTGGTAGACCATCTTGCACCTTCATCTTATATGGAATGTTCCCAAGAAGAGGAGTATAAACTCTCTTTGGACCCAGAGGCCGTAGCGGTGCCTATAGTATGGGCGTCTGCCCTCTGTAAGGAGTGTTGATCATCATCGATTATTCCGCGGCTCATGCTTGTTGGACTATCGCTACTTGTGACCAGTGGCGGGAGATGGATGAATGCCGAGTTCGTCACCCCGACGACGTGGTAGTATGACAATTAACACTTCTTTACACTGTAGTGATGTAGTGTGGAAACGTATGGTAATAATGTGCGTTCGAAATG